TGTATACCATTCATGTATGTTTACCTACCTATATGCATGCATATGACGGTGTATGGTACACACAAGTTCAGCTTATATCACACACCGTATCTTCTAGTGTTTCTATTCTTGAGAAAAAAAAACTCGCGGGGACGTCATCATCATTTATTTGTGAATATAATATGAAATGCTAGAATGATGAACTATAATTGAACTATAATTGTTAAAAAATTACAAAATTAAAACATATATCTGAAAAAGGTAATGTAACTTGAGAGACCTTTTAATGCAACAGACTAAAACTATATGCAATTCATATCAGCACAGAGATACTTATCCATACACAGAAGAAACTATTGTGGTAAACTTGTCTTTAAAATGATTTTTAAAAAAATACACCAAATAACTATTGTGAGCAATAGTTTGTGTCACTTATAGCCAGCGTAGTATAGTTAACAGCCAATTGTGCTAGCAAGCGTTGATCTCCTCAAAAAGTGTTAATAGTAAATCTATGTATGCAATTTATAGTGTGTTAATATCAAGTTAATAATCTCTGCATATATACGTAGATTAAAAAATATCCCTTGAGGGTTACAGTAAAATAGTCAAGCATTTTATATGTGATAACATTGCATACATCCCTTTTAACCAGCAAATCAGAAGTATTCAAACAGCAGATTACCTTCAATGCATATGTAGTCAGTCATAGCCACATTTCTCTTTTTAAATATCAATTCAATAAAACAGTGTGTGTGTCTATGTCTACATTAATTTGAGAAACTGTCAGATTGAGAGCACTAGAACAACTCACAATAGTCACTGCATATTGGAGACAATTTCACTATAATATGAATTTGTATTTCAATAATAAGTATTATTTAGCACTTTCATTGGAATAAGCAAGATTTTATGTGAGGAAAAAATGGACTCTACTATATCATATCTTGGTTTAATAGATGCTTCTATATTAATAAAAGTCATTGATTTAATGTTTAGTTTTCTTGCTCTGCTCCTCACCTATCTAGAAGTGATTTCTCTGGTGATAACTAACACATCATGCTAATGAGAGAATCTAATGTACAATAGAAAAATGTCACTACTAATAATATTTGCATGAAGTTAAACAAAGCAACTGTAAGAGAATGTCAGACAGTTGCTCCTTAATAAGATACAGTTACACAATGAAATTATGCTGTTAATTTTGTTACATCATTGAATGAATCCTAAATTACTATATAACGATGCACAGACCCATTTATAACAATAATATACTCCTTTTCACTCTTGTGGGGAAAAAAACTTCAGGAAAAGGTTTCTTCTTTTTATGTGAAACAGGTTAAACATTCTTCCTTTTTAACACAAAGGTAAATGTCTGGCATTTTGTGTCACTGTGGGTTACAGCCATTGCTCTCATGGTCTCATTTCAGAAATGACTTAAAAGTATTTTAGAACATTACAGCCCCTAAGGTAACTGGATGAAGAAAAATGACATTTCTTATTCTGACAAATGCACAAAACATTTATGAAAGCAGAAAATCCTGCTTTTTTTTTTTTTTTCATCAATCAAAACCAGGCCTCCTTTTCTGTTGTTAACAAGCTCTTGCCAGACTAAAATGGGCAGTATGTGCCCTGGACTCAACCAGATGAGCAGGGAAGGGAAACCAAGGGTTTCTGGCCATTCTCGACCTGTCACTGATCAAAGTGACCCAAAGAAGAACTTTCAAAAAGTTAAGATTTATGCCCTTTGAGGTTATCAGCTATTCTTCTGTACACAGAACGGGATAATCCTTTTAAAAGAACCATACTTTTATATTGAAAAAAAGATGCATAGACAGAACAAGTCAGTCAAATGGCCATGTTTTAAACTTCTAGTAGATAATTTAGAAGTTGTGTTTCCCAATCTCTCCCACCCCAACAAAATCTAAATTTGCTCTGGAACGTGATGTCTGATTTTCCTGCACCAGAGCAGATTGTCACACAAACAGAATCAAACGTGTTCATCAAAGAAGGAATGCAAACACAAGAACTCCTATACGTACTGATACCTAAATCTGGATGATCAAATCTAAACACACTGACATTTTCACAATACACTTCCGCGTAGTGTCCTACTACAAGGTTTTGCTATAGCTGTTGAGAAAAAAGTTCTGTAGCATGCAAATATGTAGCTTTCCCAGGAATATTGCAGGTGTCTTTCTAAAAATTGCTTTTGTTGTCCTGCTCTAGTCTTTGTACCAGAACCTGCTAGAGACTGATTTATAAAGGTGGGAGTTTGGGGGGGCGGGGGAGAGAAGAGGTTAAAAAATGTGCAGAAAGCACAGTATTTTATTCAGAACATATAATACCACCTCTGCTGTTACTATGTATATCTGCAAAACTTTCACTAAACATTTCATTCAAACCTACGGTAAACTTTCTCTTGCGAGTGAAGTGCATCTGATAACGAAATATAATTTGTACTGTGAACAAAAATTTATCTCAAAGCCTAGGCATGAAAGGTGAAACACCTCTATTTTCAGAAGATGGATGCTAAAAATTAAGTCATCTTATAATGGATGAAAAACAGATAAATGTGATACTCAAGATTTAATGTTAAGAGAGAAAAGAACATCGACACTGTCACACGTTTGCAGCTGCACTTGACAGAGTTTGTGCTCACAGTCTGCACAAGCTGATCTAACAAATTTAACGAATCAGAAAGATGATAAAATGTTATCCTTTAAGAGGGGGATTAATGCATTACTAATAACTCACCTCCTCTGAAAAGCTTGGTGAAAAATGTGTGTGAACTGAATGTATTTTAGTTCATGATAACAAACAAAAACATCTTATAACAAAATTATGAACACAATGCTTGAACACACAAGTGAAGTATAGACTTTTTAAAATAAATCTGTTCAACATTACCAGCTTTACAATGCTACTGTGTGTATTCCAGTGGAAGGATTCACATTGATGCAGCATCTGCCATGCATTTAGTCATATGCTACATATCTTCCCCCCTCCACTCCATGAAGAATATAAACAGGACCATACATATGTCCAGCAATGCACAGAAGGCATTTAACATTCTCAAGCATTAGCATAATTAATACTTTTTCAAAAATGTAACAGCCTCGTTTATGTGCCAGTTTTTCCTTGTCTATCAACTAGTTGTCTCAAATTCTTTGCATCTTCTACCCTGTGATGTCCTTCATTTACTTTTGTTTTCTTCTGTTGTTAGTGTTGAATATTTTCTAGCACTCCTGAGACTACGTAGATCTAAATCTGTTTGGATTAGGTCTAATATGAAACATGCAATCTAACACTATCTATGTGGTGCAATAGCTATTTATCAATTGATCGTTATCTGGATCTGGTTAGGTTAACTCTTTTGTAGCTGAAGGGGAAAGAACCTATCCTACAACCCCAAATGTCTAACCTCACTACTGAACAAAAAATGCAACACAAGTTATATAACTGCTTTACATTCTATTGCTGAATATCAATAAAAACCAATGTGTGATACATCAAGTATATATGCATATACCTCATATAACCTGTGCAGCAGCAGTCATATACTTCGTAGCACACAGTACATATGAAATGTGCATCTCCACTAGTAGATGAACTTTTTACTTTCAAGAATGGGACATCAGACACAAAGAGTTGCTTATTCATCTTATGTTGATTACATTTCTATACCAGCTTACTGTATCAGCAGTAATCAGGGTCCCTCTACAGGATATATCAAAATATACCTTACTCAGATACATTCATCCTGCCTAAGCTACGTTGCTAAAAAACTCTCCCCTAGACAACTGCTATAGATTACTATTTTCACTGTCAGGTTTTGTGTTTATCAAAAATGTTCTTTTATAACTAATATTCATGATTATTTTCTTACTATAAGCTATAATAAAAAAACTGATGACACTACCTTCTCCCTTTTTGTACAATACAATGCTTTTTAGGTAAATAGGAGTTCATTCATCTCATTTCCTGCATTATAAATGTCTAACTAAAAAGCACACATCATTTAATAACTCCTCTTTTGGACAAGGAAGTCCTTTAGTTACTATTACTCAGTGTGGGACCATAACTGGAAACTACTTTTTAAAAAGTCAAATCATCTCTGGAAAGGGAGGCACCCTGTTAAAAAGCTTCAGTTTGAACTTCCCTCCCCTGCTGGAGCGGAATCCAAGATGAAAGTTTCTCTTTTTTTCCTTTTTTCACCCAGAAGAGCCAAGTAATTGTGCAAGAGGAGCTACAGCAGGCAGGGCGCGTATCACCAAGTGCATGGTACAGAGACGCTGGCTCCTGTGATTAATTATCAGTTATTACTGGCCTTGCAGTAACATTTTAGCTTTCCCGTCAGAACCAGCATACCAAGCTGCCTTAAACGCGGCCCCCGGTGAAGGAGCAACTCTGGGGAGGACGCCAAGGCACAGCTCCGCAGAAACAGTGTGTGTGTGTGTGTGTGTGAGAGAGACCCGACAACTGAAACTGTCTCCTCTAACGACCCTCAGCGCTGTGCTGGCAGCAATTCCAGCACAACTGCTCTCCACTCCTTAGGTCTGAATAAAGCTGTTTTCTGCCACATGAAGTCAATTAAGCTGCTCTAAGGGGCCCCCTAAATTTAGTATCAGTTTGATTTTGGGGCTTACGTACTCTAGAAGAAGGAAAGGACTTTTGCTGGGACAGCAGATACTTTTATTTATGGGGGGGGAGTGGGAGGAATGAAACAAAACCAAGGCAAACAAAGAAAGAAACCAGTCTTACCATAAGCAAAGCTCTGTTTGGAAACTTTAAAACAAATGCCTTGCTTTTACTTCAAGCTTTATTTTTAAAATCTTTTTAAAAAGGAGACCTTAGGGAAACAATGAAGTAACCATGCACATTCCAATGACATAGTTATGACAGTTCAGAGGCTAACTATGTAGTGATACATTTAAAAAAAAATGTGGAAAGAAAAGAAAAAGAAAAGAAGAGCACTAAATACCATGTTTTAATAAAAATGAAAAAAAAAACACCACACATACCTGTTGGGACATTCTGAATAAGAGGTTAGTGTCAGCGTTCTGCCATGTCCCCATGAAACCAGATTCGGTCGTTGCCGTTCTTGTTCCGAACTGCATGGAGTTGTCAGTGCAGGAGTCTCTTAAAGTCAAGTCTCTTGCCCTCTTTCGCTCTCTGTGTCTCTGTGTCTCTCTGTCTCTCACATCCACTTCTGCCTCTTCTGACTGAAAAGTGAAGGTGGATTTTTTGAGTCTCTTGGCAGCCAGTAGCAAGAGTGTAGTGTAGTTAAGAAGCTAGCTGCACTGTGCATTTCATTTGGAAACGGGGGGTTCAGGGGAAGGGGTCAGAGCTTCTTTTGCACCTTCTGCACAGATACCCCTATCATTTATGCATTGATTGCGACTCCCCAAGCTTGCCTTCGCTCTGTTTAACAGCTGCCTGTCAGGTGTGCATGCAGCACTAAGGAGACCCAACCATCAGCTTCAAACTCTCAGCCACTGGATGTCATTGGATAACAGAGCAAAGAGTCAACTGCACTGCTCCACTATCAGGCACCAAATGACATCCTGCACTAACCCCTCTCAGTCAGTCTACAGACACACACACACACACACACTCTAACTAGCACACTGATCAGAGTGATCACAGTGAACTGGGAGGAAAAAAGGCTGTGGCCCTTTCCCTGTCTTGTTCTGTTTTTCTTCAACAATGCTGTCAAGTACAACATGTAATATCTGACACTTACCTACCACACAGAATCCGTAACCTTTTTTTTTTTAAAGCGATTACTCTTAAATATAGTCAATATTCACTTACAAGAAAAATGTGAGAGTTGGCCTGGTTATTTTCTAAATATTAGGTGTCAGGCAGCCAACTACCGTGGGATAGTCCTTTCCTGTCCCAAATAAAACTCTTACCAAAGAGGGGAAAAGAGACACAATCCAACTCCTTTTGAAATTAAACCAAAAAAAAAAAAAAATCACATGCACATTTCATCTCTCACATCCCTGTTTCCCTTGTTAATCACTTAACTGTCTCAAGTAGCATCTTCGGAGAAGGGGGGGGATGTAGAAAGGAAGTGTCTACTTCATTCCCCCCTAACCCCCCCAATGCAAAGCTGAGATTTTTTTTTTTTTAATTCCTGGATTAACCATACACAATATACCTTCAAACTATAATGGAGAAAGAGATGAAGCAGAAAAAAAAGCCAGTCCCACCTACTCAAAAAGTAATGCAAAGAGAATGACATTTTTCTTTCAGGATCTTTCCCCTGCACTTAGGTAACATTTTTATACATAAAGAAAAACAATCCTGATACCTAGCAGATTTTTAATTAAAATGGCTTTAAAATAAAGCCAATCTTATTTGCTAAACTATTACCTTCTTTACCCTGTGTGTGAAGGGGGAGGGAAAAATCAACTACGTGAACTACATAAACTTCAAAAATGTAAAACAAAATTCATGCCATCTCATAAAAGCAGAGAGGGTAAAAAAAGCTATCCTTTCTAAACTTTAAATGTAAGGAACATTCATCTTCTACTAAAATCTACAAATTTAAGAGGACAAATGTATCACTCTCTCCCCTTTTCCTTCACTCACGAATAACAATAAACCTTACTCTCTGAAACAACAAAAGAAACAGAAGAGAGCTTCAGTGGCAGCTCTGTGTCATTAGCGTGCAATGAGAAAAGATGAGAAAATGTACACTATGTTGACACAAATGTGCCTTTCCCTTTAGATCCTACATCTCCTGAAAGCTTTTCTGTTAAACTTCTCTCCAGTTCACCACCATTAAGTATAAAAAAAAAAAAAGTCTCGAAAGCAGCAAATTCAATATCTGAGAAAAAATAAACAAGAACCCAAAGAACTGTTGTCTTAAAATATATTACATCCACCTGTGGTCAATAAAAATATTCTTGTTGGGGGTGGGGAGATCCTATGGGTCAATTGTGCCAACAGTGGCTGTACCGTTACACTTAGCTATTACCCACTTAAACTCCCTCTAAAATTTGCTAGCCTCTTGATTTCTGAAGTGGCACTCAGTGCCTCAGTCAAGCTGCCTGCTCAGCTCCTGACCTTCCCACTAATGGCTGTTATTTGTGGGAGGCTTAAGGACACCGTCAATAGCAAGCTTCCTCTTCTCTTCTCTCTGCATCTCTTGTGCTCTCTCTCCCCCCCCTTTTTTCCTGTCCTGCAGTCCTCTCCACCCAAGGGGGGGGGGGAGAAGAGAAGCATGTGCGCGCATGCACACACACACACACACACACACAGACAAAATCAACTGGCATGCAGCAGCAAGCACCTGCAGTAATAGACTCTTTTATTAAAACTGTTATTCTGCAAGACTTGAAATTCCCGGTGGACTGGGCCATGTCAAAGCCGATATAATTAACTAGAGGCTCAGCAACGGATCAATTACCAGACAAGCAAGTGATAGTGAAATCAATGAAAGATCATCAGCCACATTATCAGTGTTGCAACTCATTAGGGTAAAACTGAGAAATGTGCTCAAAGCGAGCCCAAGCAAGGTGGCAGTACAAAACAAAGGGCTAATTTGGAGACCCTGCTGTGTACAATCTGTAACAGAATTAGCCTTTTTCCCCCCTAAACTGCATAGCTCTGTAACTAAATGTGACAGACTGAGAGAAGCAGTTTATTAAGACACCAACTCCAAGTTTATTTAGTTCATAAACTCTCTCCTAGAAAATCAATACAGTCTGTACAGGGTTATTAGGCTGACTAGCTAATACATCCAAAACTCCTCTTCCTAGGCAGTTGTCTTGGCCAAAATGCTACCTATTGTAGGTGAATTCAGAACAGCTTCAGATCATGGTATCAAAGGAGGACCATTACTTATTTGTGATGTATGTCGCTACTACTTCACAGCATAAAACATTTTTTTTGAAAAAAAAAATCTTATTTTTGCTTAGATAATAAATGTGACACAGGAAGAAAACAAAATTTACACTGAAAACAGCTCCAGTCATCCTCAAGTCTATCTTTTCTAAAAGGCACCTTGTTTTAATGGCATTAATGCCAACATATAAAACTAAAAAACAAATACCTGATGAATCTGAAAAGGGATAGACAAAGAACGAGTCACTAAGGGGATCACAGGAACCTCTGCAGGGAAACTAAGATGGAAGTACACTTCCTAGAGTAATAGACTAAGTCTCTTCTACATCTTTTCTAAGTCTACAACTATTTGTATTTGAAACTGACATGAGAGTTACAAAACAATTGTCAAAATCTAAGCTTAGAATTCAACATTCCCCTTCTGAAATCTATCATCCCCCTCCCCGATGTCATAATTCCTCTACTGCCAGAAATATTCTCGGGATCACCTCAAAGAGCACACGTGATTCTTGTTAGTACTCAAGTTTGGCAAACACTGAGCGGACCATTATATTTTGGCAAGTATAATATTGCCAAAATATATCCCCCACAGCCTCCTTTGGCTACCTCATTCTATAGCCACAAACAAGATATTTGCTCTGAAAATATTGAAGACAAAATCCTTAAGAAGAGTTCAAGAAATAATCACTTCCGCCCTACCTTTCTAATTACCCATATGAAATTCACAGATGTCACTGTTAACCCATACAACTTTGTATTGCAAGATAATAGGAACTGGGAATCACATTGCATTTTTCAGTTTCTGTGAATGGACTAATGCTGAATAAGAGATGTGGCCACTGGACTGTAACTTGAATAGGAGTGAAAGACAATAACCAGTGGTTATTTTGGTCATTTACCTGTCTAGCCCAAACATTTAAGGAGGCTTGCAATCTACATGTGAAGTACAGGCGATTGATTTTTTCCACCACTGAATATTACCCAAGCCTTTTATAACATTAAGTAGTTTTTGTGGATTTTATTTTTAAATATAAAATTGTCTGTTACTTCCCTTCGCCTAAAAAAGTACCCAATTCTACCACTTTGGCAAAAAAAAAAAAAAAAAAATACACTTGCCACATATTACATAAAGAAAACAGGATAACTAGGTAGTGCCTATATGTAATCCTCAGCACAGAAACAGTGCATAATGTTAACATCTCTTACTTCTTCCAACTTCCAATCTTATGAACATTTAAGTATTAATTAGTTCAGTCAAAGGATTAATAAAAATTTACTCAAAGCATTAGAAATTAAAAAAAATACACTCCAATTATACTGTATTATTAGGCAAGCTGTTAAACATGCAACATTTACTAACCTTTTAATGTTCAATAATATGTAAAGTCTTTAAAGAGTTCCAAGTCTATGCTTTAGATACCAAGAAAATAATTACAGAGGAATTTTGCAAAATAAATAAATAAAATCTGCATAGATATAACTATGTGCTGTATATGTACATTCAATGAGGTCCAATTAGTCGGAAAGCATTTGCATTTCAGTTAGTATGAGCTAACAAGACTGCAGGGAGACAATGCAATTCTACTATGAGGGAAAGAAAGAATGCTGTTTTCCTGTAAGTATTAATTCCCCAAACTGATCATCTTAAAAATGTTACTGATCTTTACAGTATTTGTTTTCCTAACATCTAGGAGTTCACTATAAATGTTTATATTAACTATACATGCAACAGTGTCCCATAGATTACTCCTGGGGGAAAAAGACAGCAGCAGGCACAAATTAATTCATTTATACTGGTGATCTAATTATTTTATAATAATTGTTAATCACTTATTTAAAATGAGAATTCCTCAATTGTGACTTTGGTCCTAAGGTTTGATAAGATATCAAAGCATGAGAGACTATAATTTTGATGTAAATATAGCTGGTTTAAATGGCAAAGATACATACTTTCTAAAATGTGATCTCATAACTGGAATACATAGTTTGCTAGAGTCTAGGTACATTCAATTGACTTACTGTATAGTACCTGTAATTCCCAGACTTCAGTTTGCTGAAGCTGTTAACAGATTCTGTAATCTATAATGACAGTAAACTGGCCTTTGCTCTTCTCTTATTCACTATTCATTTTCAAAGCTTGGTTAAGTAGATAGCTGGGTTAAAGATCAGTAGTTTTTCATGTGATACACTCTGGTATTCATCTAATGGCTTGTCAGGACAAGACTGACCCTGTTCTTGCCAAAATAATAAAAATGGTCCTTCACATCGCATGACAATCAGCCCTTCCTTGTGTTGAAACGACCCAGCTTATATGATTAAGTTGTTTTATAGAAATTTTATAACTGAATATCTGATGTTGCTCCAATAA